TGATTTTTCAATAAAAACAACATTTGCACAAAGCAAGCTGATCCACTTTTCCATGTTGATAAGAGCATTACAATGAGAAAAATAATGGGACAAAAAGAAATCAAGGGACATTTAGAATAGATAAAAATGTGCGATTAATTTGCGATTAATTGCGAGTTAACTATGACATTAATGCGATTAATTGCGATTAAATATTTTAAAAATTTGACAGCACTAATTTACATTCTTTGCAACTTACAGAACACTTGACTTGTACATTATAACCTGGTCAAGCAGTCAACTCGAGCCGCACTGATATACACACATGACAACCAAACGCACCCTTCCAATCTGGTCTATTTAGTTTTGTCTATTTAAACTGCACAATTTCCCAGCTCTCCCTCTGCTCTGTCAATGCCGCTGTTGCGCTGCATCCGTATTGCTGCTGCTGCTTTGTAAGCTATTGCTGCCTGCTGCGCTGTAAACAGGGGGTTAAGATATTTGCTCATCACTCCCCAATATCTCTATGTAAACATATCTGCGAGGTTGGAGCCTAGACGCCAAAATCTAAATATGCTATACTGCTGTAATAAACATTTCAAACGTGAGTTGTCTGAACTTTATTTTTGTGTGATTTGTATGCACCAATGCACCAAGACAAATTCCTTGTTTGTGTAAAAACTTACTTGATAGATAATACATAGTTTTATGTGTGTCCACCCCCACCTGTTCTCACAAGCATTCATTTGTTGACTCCGTCTCCATGCTCCTGGGACCTGCAATTTATTTTTTGACCAACCACTCCCACCCACTGCAAAGTCAAAAACCAACACCATTTGTGAATCCCAATGTTGTCTCTTCTAGTGCAATGCACTAACTTCGGGCAAGACAGACTAAACAATAGTGAACATGGTAAACATTTCCATCAAAAGCATGTTAACTTTGACATTGTAAGCATGTTAGCATCCTGACATTAGCAGTTAGCTCAAAGCCCCACTTCCTTAGTAAAGCCTCATAGAGCTGCAAGAATGAAGACACACCAGTCTGCAATTACATCCAACAACACTATGACTTTATTTTCTATGGGAAAGCAATGCTATTAAAGTTGGTGATTACAGGTTTTATTGTATCATTTGATTATTGATTACATTCAGTGTTACCTAATTACAAACATTTGTTAAAGCATACAGTATGTAATATCTGTTAACATAGATATATAGTCGTCTTTGAGCTGGACCTTCACTAGCTTCATTTAGATCTTAGTAGTTAAATGAACAGGGCTAAAATGGAAATAGCAATAAATAGCCATTTCCAACTACTTGAACAGCTTCAGATCAGAAGTGGGCCTGGTAGGCCAGTAGATATCCATCGTTGTACATGTAGATCTGCTTGTTGGTGGGGTTGTAGCTCAGACTGGCCACTCCTTTAGCTACCTTCTCGAGTGGCAGTGCTAGTGAGTTGTCCTCTTTTCCTGTTGCTGTGTCGAAGGCGTAGAACACCTCCTCGTGGTATTCGTCCACGTAACGCACACCATGAAAGCATTGCTCACCGCCTTCTTGAACAGCCTCGTCTCCCACGTCTGCGAGACATTGAGCGTCTCAGCCCCACTGTCCCAAACTAGCCGGCTCACCACCATGTTACCATGGTTACCAACAGTGGCATAAAGGGCCCATAGTCCCATCTCATCTGCCTCCACATCTACATCACTATTGGCACGGCAGTCATAGTAACAGTACGGGAACTTGTTGTTGAAACCCACACCGGTGCCTGGAAGTGTCACCCGTTTAACAATGTTGCTGTTCAGGTCGTAGCGGCAGATGTCTGCAGAGCGGTAGCAGTGATAGTACAGAGCTTCACCATAAAGAACAGCACTGGGTCCCTCAATGCTGTTAGCGTGACTGTAGGATGGGGCGAAGGTGTAGTCCTTGTGGTTGGCAGAGGCCATGAAGTCTTCGTAGGTTTGGTAGACACGCAGGGTGTTGCCCCAGATGTGGGTGCTGACCAGAGGTTGAACCCAGTAGCTGTTCTTCTGTCCCTCACTGTCCATCTGGGCCTGTTTGCCCCATGAACCAGAGATGTAGCTCTTACCATGGGGACCAACCTTAGTCATGACAGGATCACTAACATTGGTGATGAGGCCCTTGAGGCAGTATGTGTCTTTGACTGGAAACAGAGAGACATGAGAAGGATTTGAATATTTTGTGGAATATAATTTTAGATACAAGCCTGTGTAAAGCTCAGAAAAAAGATATAACAAGTGTGGATTTGCAATAGTCTTTGCAACATAACAGCCTGTTAAAATAAATGCAGGTCTCTGTGTAGGGGTGTTGGGGGGGGGTCTGATGGAGGGCATTGATTGACTCAGGTTCAGGTGAAAAAAACATTTTTTGAGGATTTTTCCAAAGAGGATAATAATAATTTATTATTTATAATACAAACCCTGCTAAAGGAAAATAAATATTTTTGAAGAGGAAGTGTGTAGATCAAGTGGCCGATGTCACATCCATTTTCAACCCCTCACTGCTCCAGTCTGTAGTGCTCGCATGTTTCAAAAAGGCCACCATTGTCCCTGTCCTCAAAAAGTCTAAAGCCCTCTTCTTAAACCACTACCACCCAGTAGCAGTCACCTCCATCAACCTGCCTGACCTAACATCATGAAGTGCTTCGGGCGGTTAGTCAAAATCTTCATCATGTTCTTTCTTTATAACTGACTGGACCCACTACAGGCTAAACAAGTCAATGGACGATGGACAATGCCATCAGCCTAACACTCCACACTCCTCTTCCACCTGAACCAGAGGAACACGTATGTGAGAATGCTGTTCATTGACTATAGGTCAGCATTCAATAGTTGACCATTTGGTCTTTCACCATGCTCATACTTGGGAGTATCTAAGAATTTCATTGCCAAGGATTGCTTCACTTTAACTGTAGTGCATATGACATAAACTTGAACCTTGTGTGGAATTTCTTAAATGGATTATTTGTTTGCTCAGTGCTGAGTGGTTGCTTTCTGTTCCTGAGCCCTGTTACAACATCTTCAGCAGAGATACTGCATATCTCAGTAAATCCACGAAACAAATGGCACATCAGTCACCCCTCTCTTCCACTATTGAATTTCTTTCCCATCATCCAGTCACATTACTGTGACCTGAAGGACAAGAATCTCCAGCTAGATGGCCTGCTGTATCTGAATGAGCAATGGATTTATCTCAAGTTGAGATATGAACCAGTGTCAGAGGGCAACATTTCTCTTTTCGTTTCTTCGTTTCTAATGACACACTGCTAAAACTGGGTTTAAAACAGTTAAAAATACATCCCAATAGGGATTATCAACTAATTATTACCTCTGCAAAGGAGATATGTGATCAGTGCTGTTTGTGGGTTTGTTTGTTTGTTTGTTCGTTGGTTTACTTGTTTGTCTATCAGCAGGATTACGGAAAAACTACTGGCCTAATTTTCATGAAACTGGTGGAAGGGTGTAGCATGGGCTCAATGAAACTAAAAATGAAGGGTCATTAAGTGATAAAACCAATGTTGTAATGCATAGGTACCAGTTCTATTGAAGTTTATGGGAGATGCTTGGAGAACCAGCATATCTATGTTGTATGACCTTTGATGAAGAGATGCCTCTACCAAATGAAAGAACATAGTTCAGAAAATAGTTTTTCAAAATGTGGGAATTTGTTTATTTGCTGTTGGTCTCATATCCAAAAATATAGGCATACTTTACAGGGCCGATGGCAAGTCAAATGAAGATGCTCATAATGGCAATTTTTTAAAAAGTTATGAAGTGTTATTGACAAGGCTAATAACAGCTAATCTTATGGGAGTATTAGCTATTCAAATGAAACATTTATGAACCTTCTCTGGTTCTTAATTGTGCATTGGTGGGCTAAAAACTAACCCTTAGCTATAAAACGACAAACGCATATTTCATGGCTATCATAAAAACATTAAACAAGATCTTGATCATCAGAAAATAAACAGGCTCACAGTTCATTTAGTTCAACTTGCATGCAAATAAATTACAAACAAAATGTACCTTGAAAACAAATGGAACATTAGGTAAATAACAACATAACAAAGTAGTGGTGCCAGATTGTTAACCTGTGAAACTGAAGGGGGAGCTGTAAAGGAGTGGTCTGCTCATTCATCACTATGCTAACTGTGATGAGAGCTTTCAAGCAGGGCACTAACGTGCATTCACGTGATGACCCTTCCTTCTTTTTTTGGCACGAGCCAAGGAAAAACCATTAAAGATCCAGTGTGTATAATTTAGTGGCAATGAGCAGTGTAGTTGCAGACTTTTTAGCTATTACTGTACAATATTTGTATAATTTGAAATGCCTTTGCCACAATACATCATGTATACCTACAAAACCATGTGATCTTTTTTTTAATCCTGAGCAAAGGAAATGTATGATACATCCTGAACTGCATCATATCATAAATTATGTATTAGTTATGCATTACTTAAGCATGTGTCTTTATTATAAAGATCCAACTCAACTCAAGGTCAAAAATGCAACAATAAAAAGTAAAAAATCTGAAAGATTTATTGAAAAATTTGAAAGTTGAAAAAAAGAAAACTCAACCAGCTACAACATTAAACTACTGCATTAACATTAATGCAACAGTAATACTAATCCAATAAAACAAAACTCTAACCAATCTGCATAATAACTACCAATAATATGTAATACTTAATAATATGTGTACGTACGTAAGTCAAACTCTGAATGCAAAAAGTTTGCTTATTAAGGATTGTTTTTATAATGCATTATTGCGTTATCAGTGCTTACATGTTCCAAAAATTCCAAAAGGTAAAATTTTAGTTTAACATAAGATCTTTGAGCTTCATCATATGAAAATCCCCTATGCTGCTGCAATCCCAACCACAAGAAGGAAGTGGTTACATTCTGCGGGAAACATGGCACAAGCACACACACCGAACACACATTACTCACTTACATGCAGTGGTCAATGGGAGTGTCCACAAGTTAAAAACAGTTAGTCATATTCAAACTGTGTTCAGGGACTGTTTCATTTACCTCTGCTGTCTGATCCACCATGAAGCTGTATGTGATCGTTCCTCTGTGTGCTCTGTTCACCCTCACCCAACAGGTAAGAAAACACATTTAGCTCCTCCTAACAAATTATTATACACTGCCCATTTACGCATGGTATTTAAAGTTGATTTTTTATGGCAAGGTGTGATATTCTTGATTTCATATTGCATATTGTTAATATGATATCCGGAATCACTTATAATCCAACAGTGACATTTGAAGTTTACTCCTTTTTGATGTTGTCAGAACTGGTAGGCAGTGTCTAACCCATCCTTACATGACTGAATGTACTATAATATCTACTGCTGGGAGATATAACACAGTTTGAACTCAGGACATAATCCTCGTTTAAACAATAAAACAAACAAACTTAATCTTACTTACTAATCATTTTAGATAGCATTTAGGACTTTTCTCATTACACACAAAGGTTTTCTCACTGAATTCATATTTGTTTATGTCCTACCTATAGTCAGGATTCAGATATTATTGAAGCATCCAAAATATCTAAAATCCTGTGAGTCCTTAAACTGACATTAGTCTGCTGTGACTGCCCAACTGTATATTTTACATTTTAATTAATATGCTCTCCACTGACAATGTCGATTGAATTATTGATTGATTTTATTTATGGATTATCAGACACAAAAAACAAAATTGACAACACTTATTTCTGACATGGTCCCAAGATGTTAGAAGACACAATGAGAGAAGACATTTAACATTCAACAACACAATCCTGAAATCCAAATTAATGATGTCTTTGCTGATTTCATTCATCAATCTGTTGCCCTGATCAATAAAACACTAAAACCTGACTTCTATACCTTATTTAAAAACTTGATGTGAACTGACGCACACTGAACACACACTGGCCCAGATATTATAGTATGGACCATTGTTATCTGAGAAGTACTGAGGAACATACTCATTGATAATATTGTACATATGATTCAGTTTCTGTTGTTCCACTCTGAGCAGTCCGAGCTGTCTGAATTCATCACTACCAATGTTAATGATTAATGATTAATTATTAATATTACATTTAATAGTAATAGTAATGAAGTACAGTATTGTTTTACATCACCTGTAGTTTGTTCTTAATTTTAACCGTCAAACCAAGCTGAACAGACATAACCAAAATGACATTGTATCAATGATGATAATGAATGAAAATACAAAAAAGACTAAATATTAAACAAGACACTTTGTTCTAAAGGATTTTTCCTGTTTTTCCAATGATTTTGAAAGCGTATTATCTATGAGCCACTAATTGCATATGTTCTGAGACATTATCATTCGTTATAGCAACAGATTAAAAAAACAAAAAAATATGTCTGATTTCAAGTTAAAATTATGTTTGTATCCTAACCATGTACCATAGTGATTTCTCATCGATTTCCAGGTGCACCATGATTATAAGAGTGGAAGATCTTCATGTTCACCAGTCACACTGTAAAGAAACAAATGAAGTCCGTCAACTGCTCACCATAATGCAGTAAAGTATGTAAAGTATACAGTGTAAGTGGTCTCTTAATGTCTACATTTTCGGTTAATGTATTTAATTTGCTTTTGTTTTTAACTCTCCCACAGACTCAGGAGGAAGTGCCTGCACACATCTCTTTTGTGGCAATGGGCATTTATGATTTGGGACATTTCAGATTAAAGCTGCAACAATCAGTCAATTAAGCAATTAGTTGTAAATTATTTCAATTAACTAAACTAAATAATAAAATTTGCTATTTTGAATTTATAGTTTTGAGTCATTTTTAAACATAAATCTAAATTTTCTGATTTCAGCTTTTCAAAATGTGAACAATTCTAATCCAAAGACAGACAGACATGCTTGAGTTATTTGTTTTCAATACTGGTCAGTGCTTTTTTTACTCCAGTGGCTGAGCCAATTCTTTCCTCACCAGTTTGAAGGTTGTGCCATTGCTGGCAGGCACGAGCCTGAAGCTGTACACAGGACGGGCAACTGCACTGTGAACATGTGGCTCTTCTCCATGTCCCTCCTGCACCTTTAATAACTATTCTAATAGCATACATTATCATATATGAATGCTATATGTGCTTTAGTATCATATTAAATGTGGTCTCACCTTTTCATTATAGGAGGTTGGAGACTTGGTTCCTGTGTAGATCGTTTTGATCATTGTAGCCCTTCTTGTTGATCCATTCAGTAATGGTGGTAAGATCTGTATCTGTCATGACTCCCTTGTGTTGAAGCACGTTGAACCATCCCTCTACCATCTCTGTACTGTGTTGCTGAAAGCTTTTTTCAAAAGTGGCAAGTCTGGTTTTACTCATCTGGTCGTTCTGAAAGTCTTTGAAGTTCTTGGTGCCATCCAATTTGAATCTCGGCATAGAGCCAATAATCGTCAGTTTGAAGGTGCCCACAACATCATCATTGCTAATGGTGCTAGCTAAATAGTTTCTATAGTCTTTTGACTTTGTACTGGGAAACTCACGATGTATTTCTTTAGGCACTCGAACAGTTGGAAGTTTAAGGCCATGATATTTGTGCACATCAGGAATCAGGTTGGTATCCAGAGGAGAGGAGTTTGTTCCCACTTCAAGCATGGCTTCTGCTAATCTGCTGTTCTGGTTCAGTTTTCTAGCTTCTAACATACAACTCACTGCTGGCTGGTGATCTGCATTGATGAACTGTCCAATTCCTGGATTTTGAGTTCCACACTTTTTCCATTCTTTGTATAATTCTATTTTTCCAACCTCTTCCTCAAGTACCTTTTTGTTTTCTTTTATGATGTTTTTTGGTGCAGCTCCCTCTGCCATGTACCAGTCCCCTCCTCTGATGGCTTCAGTCCACTCTTTGCGCTTGATGAAAGGCTCCCATTGGCCTGGGTGTCTGAGGAGAGTGTCGGCCTCCACAGATCGGAGGCGGTTTGCTTCCAAAGCAATCTCTACTTCACTGGCCTCTGGTTTCATGCCTCGTGCCAAAGCATGAAACAGGCAACCCTTGTCCTCATTGTCTATGCTCACTCTCTGGTTATTGATCTGCACATCATAATGGCCGCCTGGGTACTGGGCACTCTTTGGTTGGTAGATCAGTGTCACAGTTTGATCGGTGTGTTCAGTGCTTGGGCTCAGCTCCTGCATTTTGGTAAGACTGCCATGGCTATCCTCTGTTAGGATGACAACCTTAGTACGGGTGGTTTCTGACAGGATTCTGATATCAAGAATGGTGCCCACAGTCATGGGATCCCTGATCTTTTCAGCATGTGACTGTGCCGAGTGGTCACCTGCCTCTCCTGCAAGTTTATGCTCAGAATTTGGATCTACTGGCATGTTTGCAATGTATCTGTTGTTCTGTCCAGCTCTGAGTTTTTCCTCTGTTCTGTCACTCTTTAAGCCAGATCGTACATAATTGCCAATGACGCCATTTACTTTCTTTTGAACATGAGAAACACAGTGACTGGAGAACTTCTGGTGGAACACTTGTACCAAAGCATTAGCCAATAAAGCACTGATGGTGTTGGCCAAATCCTGCTTGAATTCTTTCAACAGCTCACTGTCTGAAGCAGATAGTTCATTTACCTTCACTTTCTCTGATTTTTTTAAATTTAGTCAGTTGTTCCTGAAAGTTTGAAAAAAACTTTCTGGAGAGACTGGAGACTACACTGATGGCGTCTCCTGCCAGTGCCCCCATGTGGAAAACTTGGATGGCTGTTAGAATCCCACGTAATGTTCCCTTTGCCTCTTTTTTAGCACTGTCAATCACTGTGGAGAAGGATGAGTTCAGCTTGTTCTGCCAGTCAAGGTCTGCATAGAAAGGCTGTACTGCAGTGTTGCTTAATGTTCTGAAAATGTCCAGCAGTTGTTTCTTTTTGTTCTTGTCCTTCAGGAGATCATGAAGTTGCTCATTATCGTCAACGTATGAGAGGATAACAAGGTCTACTAATGTAGCCAAGGGTTCTTCTTCCATGTTGGATTTCACGTCACCAACAATTCCGTTTTCCACAAGGATTTTAATGCTGTTTAGTATTTCTGACAGTATTTTCTCTTCTGCCTTACCAAATCCATAGTTAATGATTTCTTCTACCATTTTTTTAGCAGTGTGTTTTACAGTATTCTTCATATTTGTCTTTGTGACAACGCTCAAAGTGTCTTTAGCCTGTTTGGAGAGAAACTTTGGCAGTGACTTCAGCTTTTTGCCGATTCCCTTAATTAACGTTTTACAAGCTTTGAAGCCCTTTGCGATCAGCTTTCCAACTCCAAACCCAATGAGAGACACACCAATGGAAATGGCTTTTTCTATAGCCCATGCTTTCCAGCTGAAATCTCCTGTCACCATGGCCTCTATGCCATAGATGCAGTCTGATATTCCTTCAATGATGAGTCCCATGCCAACTTGAGCTAATGTACCAAACGTAAATGCAGTTATCAGAGCTCCTCCAACAATCTGTAAAATTCCAAGACAGAACACTAGAAAAGCTTCCCATGGGAATCGGGGCTCCTCTTCCACAGAAAACACGTATTTCAGACCCTGACTGTAGAGGTTATAGGCTTCCACTTGGAGATCATCATCAGCACCAGACACCAGAGAGAAAATTGGTGATTTATTGGCCACTGCATGTCGGTCTTTTCCTTTTATTTCATCCAGCTTTTGGATGGCCTCAGTAATGTTTTCGTCAAAGTATCTGAACATCCTGCTCTTGGTTGTTAACTGTTTTTCAAGGTTGGTTGGGTTGCTGTTGGTTGAGTCAGCAGATGTCATTTTCACAAGTTGCAGACAGACCATGGATTCCTCACTGAGATACTTCAGAGACTCCTGTGCCTTCGTTAGATCATCTCTTGCCTGAGTGAGGTAATCTTTATTATCTCCATTCTTCTGCTTTATGGTGCAATATGCATGATTGTAGAAAGCTATAGCTGCCCAACTTTCATCTTGTCTCATGGCTTTTTCAAAGAGACTTCTGCTGACATTCCATCTTTTTTCATTCAGTGCGATATTTCCAAACTTTATGTAGTGATAGATGCTGGAAGACGGTGAAGTCTGACTTTCAGACTGACTTTTTGCCCATGACAAATCAGCTTTCAAACTCTTTTGCAATTCATCTCTCTTCAACTGGTCAATTTCCGCTGACTTCATTTGCAACCATATCCCCCAGAACTCATTCATGACGGCAACAACAGCTCTTCTCTCATCTCCATCTGTGTTTTCATGAATATCTTGAAGAGTTTTGCAGTACTCTGAGAACAGGTCCTCCCGAAGTCTCAACTCAGTGACATCGTTCATCATGTGATTTGTCTTTCCTGCTGCAAGTCTATCCCTCGTGCTCTTAGCTTCCTCCAGAGAAGACACTGTCCTGAAAGACTGCTCCAGGTGTTCATTCGAGAAGATTATCTGAGCAGATCCAGGTTTACCTTTACGTGCAGTTCGACCAAAAGCCTGAAGTTCCACTCTTGTGTTCTCAGAAAGGAAGGAGAGGATCACAAATAATCCTCCATTGTCGTTCACCTGTTTGGACACTTTTATGTCTGTGCCACGCCCGGCAAGGTTTGTGGCAACAATGACATCACCAGGAAGCAGTTTCTTGTCTATTTTGCTCAGACTGTCATTGTCACTGCGGCAGTAGAGAATGATTTCACCTGGGATGCTGCTTTTTTAGCTCTTCATGGATCTCTTTGGCTTTGTTAATAGTCTCGCAGATCACCAGGGCTGCTCTTCCATCTCTGTATGAATTTGGGGAAATCTGAGCCATAACTACCCGTTTTATTTCAGATTTCCACTCTTCAGCTGAGGTCTTAAGAGTACCTTTGACCTCAAACAACTTCTTCCTGTTGAATGTTGGCATTTTCAAGGCAGAGAGATCTGGATACAGGTCCTGTAAAAACAGAATGTCTGTTTTGCTGCCAAGTGTCCCAGTTGTTCCATATATCTTCCTATTGTACTTCTCAAAAAAAGAGATGTTAGAAATGTAGTTTGTCACAATTGAAATTGTGCTCAGTTTGACTTGATGTTTAATCTCAACAAACTGCTGCAGACCATCACCCCATTTCTTATTCAGCTCCACAATGCCAGTGGATCTGAAATCCACAGGACAGACATTGTCGTTTTCTACAACATATTCCCGTCCCTCCTTCAGTTGCATTGCCATAAAGGCATTCTGAACCCACACTGACACTTTCTTCTCCACCAGATTCTTCAAGAAACCAGGAACGCTGATTTTGTCCTTATTGTTTGTACATGGGGTGTACTGAAGCCTCCCTGAGATTAACTCTGCAATGGGCTTGATGAGAGTTTCTTCTGAATCATAGAGAGGACAGCACAGGCCTTCCTCCAGGACAAGAAATTTGAGGTCTGGAATGTCCTCGTTGTTGTATGGGCTGTGCTTTCTAAGACTGAGTAATCGCTCATCATCTAGAGTGTAAACAGTAAAACCATAGGGGACATACTGCTCAAGTTCTTGGAAAAAATCTACCACCGCATCCTGACTCACAGTTTTAAGTTTACTGAGAAGTTCATCCTTTTCACTTTGGTAGAATTCCTCTGTAAATCCTTTTGGCACTGTGTTGCATTCTTCAGCGATGTGTAAAATGTCCATTGGATCATTAATTTCAGTTTCTTCTGTGTCTATTGAGTCAAAGATAGCCTTGAAGAATGAAGCAGGAGGACCCTGTACAAATGTCTGGCATCCTGTAGACAGGAAGCCATACTGCCTGACGTGACCCCAGATCATGGCCAGAATAACGTTCAGGTGCTGCATTGAGACCATGGGGCTGGACAGGTAGGTCAGCTGCACTCCCTGGTCCAACAGCAGTGAGTCCACTTCATCGATTATGATGCACTGATAGCTGCGATCAGGCCTCACATCCTTCATCTCAAATATCTGGCGAAGATGATCTGCAGAGAAGGCCTCGATAGTTCCATAGACCACGTCCTTCTGGTAGCATTCTTTTCTATCCTTGTCGTCGGTTTTGTTTGTGTTTGTGTCAACTGTTATGTTAAAGTACTTGTAGAAGTTGGTGCATTCTTCTGCATCTCTTTGACACAACACAGAAGAGCTGGACACCACGTCTACCTTTTCACCCCTAAGCACACGCAGCACTGCAAACATTGCTATGACACAAGACTTTCCTTCTCCAGTGCCCATTTCCAGGAGCTTCCCAGTGTCAGATAAGGCCAAGAGGCACCAGCTTATCATTTGATTGTTCCTGGGCCACCACTTCCCTTCAGCGATCTGCAGGTGTACAGCATTGCATAAGATTGCCAGGACTTCCTGAAGGTCTTCTGTGTCTGTGCTGTGACTCAGACTCCTAGCTTGCTGTACATCTATGTGCTTTTTGATTTCACCGGTTTTGATCAGGTTTGTTACATGAGTTACTACACTGTATGATTTACTCAGTGTTTGTTCATCAATGTCTTTCATCTGTCGTATTTCATCAACAAGAGTATCAATGCTTTTTGCTTTCTCATCTCTAAGGCTGTCTTCTAAATGCTTGATCAGAGTTTCAGTTCTAGAAGACTCTAAGAGGTCAAGGAGAGATTTGTTGTTCTCATCTGTCCACTTGTTAGAAACCTGATATGTTTGCATTAAATGCAAAATCGTCATGATGGAGATACAGTCTTCATCATGATGGTGGTCAGTTAATGCTCCAAGGAGGTTTAAGGCCTCTACTGGTGAGCAAAGTCCTTGTGCTTCAAGATTCAAAACTATCTGGAAGAGTTCTTTTGTAGTTGTTGATGCTTGGAAAGTCTCCACAGAGTCAAATAATATCTCCAAACACCATCTGCCTGCAGGAGATGTTCTGTTTTTCTCACTTTCTGTTTCTTCCGTGACCACTTTAAGGAGATTCTCCAGGAAGGTCAGAATGAAGACCTCATTAGAAGGCAATCCCTGTCCAGATAGTTTCTCTAAGATGGTGATGATTTTATTGTCAGTGTTTGTGTCTTTGTTTAGGTTGGTGTGCAGCACCTGAAAAAGAGCTTTAATAAACTTCTGTCTCAGTTCCTTATCTTCACTGTGAAATTTATCCATGAGTTTTTGCAGGACCTCTTCAGTAAACACCAGGGAATCATTCTCCTTGAGCTCTGAAGATTCCAGATTATAGGAAGGACTGAGACTTTGTTCTTCAATGATAAATCCACGACTAAGCAGCGGGTTCCCTGCCTCCATCACCTCTGCGCCATATTGGAAGTAATCAGAGACAAAGTCATTGATGGTACCATACACAATGTCCGCTTCATAGACATCCCTGTGGGATTCATTCCTTTTCTTCATGTTAGTGTTGAGAGAAACTCCAAGGTTCTTGTAGAAATCAGACCAGTCCTCAGTTCGCTCCTCTGAGTGAACGTCAGAGCTCAGCACAATGTCCACTTTGTTTCCCATGCAGACTCGTGTGGCTGCAAACATGGCTGTGACACACGGGTCTTCTTCCACACCAACCAGCTGTAGAGCTCCACTCTTCTGAGTCAGCACCAGCGTACACCACCGCAGCATCTGCCTCACTGTGGGCCACCAGCCTTTTGTGTCAAACACTGCTTTACAGAGCTGAGACAGAGACTTCTGTATGTGGTCTGCATTCATCGTTACACATTCAAAGGAATCTTTCATAAATGGGGCATCTTCTGGTGCGTTTTCTGAATATTGCAGGACACCAGTGGTGATGTTTTTTATCATATCAATCACGGAATTATCCAAATCCCATGACATTTTTATTTCTTCCAGAGCTGCAACTACATTACTCTCATCTTTCTTTCTGAGAGTCTTTTGGAAATCCTGATGGAATCTTTCAGGTCCAGCGTCCAGAGCCAGAATGAGAGAGTGCCCAGACTCATCCGTCCACTGTGGCGTTAAGTCATGCACTTGTACCAATGTAAGGACTTTAGTTATTGAAACATCGTCTACGTAGTTCTGTGACAGGGCTCTGAGCAGGGTTACTGCCTCCATTGGGGTCCATTGGTTTGTTTGCACAAGTCTGAGGAGAATCTGAGTGGACTCTGAGTGGGTTTCATTCAGATGAGTGAGTGTGGATAAGAGGAGCTTCAAGCACTGGATCTCCATCTTCAAAATGAACACAGAGGCTTTTTCAACGACACTCTGCAGTGATGATGTGAGTGTGCTCAGGAACTGTATAAGAAAGAGGTTCTCAGTGGAAAGTTCATCTTCAGCCCAGTGTTTGGCTATGAGGACTGCGTCAGTATCAGGGCTGCCATTGAACAAGTGCATCAGGTTCAGATACAGAGCTTGAGTCAAAAGAAAACCTTCGTAGACATTACATGCTGACTGGCTGATGGACTCCACCAGAGAATGGACCTGATTGGAGATGCTTTTTAGAGATACTCCCTCAGCTATCTCCAGAAACTGGACACACAGCTCTGTGACGAAGACCTGAGTGTGCTGCAGAGTGCTGAGGGATGGGGGAGAACTGATCCATTCATCAAACAGGAGCTGGTCAAGGACGGACAGGATCTTCCCCAGCTGATCAGCTGTCAGCTGAGTGAGACTGAGATCGGAAACTGGGACACTGCTTTTCAAAGAGAGGATTTCTAGAAGCTCGTCACTGCCTGATTCATAGTTAGGCTCGATCTCTTTCAGATGCCTGATTAGAACATCTTGCTTCGATTCAAATTCTTCTGAAATGTCGCTGTTCAGTTGTTTCTCATATTGCTCTTTAGCTTGTTGGTGCGATTCTTGTAGTCTTTGATTCAGTTCTTGTCTCTTCTTCTCTTCAGCTTCTTTTGCCCTTTGCTCTTCTCTTCTCCTTTCCTCTTCTCTCTTCCTTTCCTCTTCTCTTCTTCTTTCCTCTTCCCTTCTCCTTTCCTCTTCTCTTCTCCTTTCCTCTTCTCTTCTCCTTTCCTCTTCTCTCTTCCTTTCCTCTTCTCTTCTTCTTTCCTCTTCCCTTCTCCTTTCCTCTTCTCTTCTCCTTTCCTCTTCTCTCCTCCTTTCCTCTTCTCTTCTCCTTTCCTCTTCTCTCCTCCTTTCCTCTTGATCCCTGATTGGCTTATAAAAACAATATTCACACTCGTACAAATTATTGTAACCAACTGGTCGGTAGTATTCACCTCCATTGAATACATGTACATTCCGCCCATGAATAGTTCGTTGGCATAAATCATCGAATGAGTGACATGGAGGCAGGACCTGATTACATATGTGGCATCTTAGGCTGTCACCCATGTTATGTTCTGATGGTTGGTTCCCCATTTTTGATGATTTATTCAGCAGTTCTGTGGAGATGTTTGTGTGTTTCCCTGAAGGATAGAAAACATACATTTCAATGACATTATGATATGACAACCAAGTTATAACAGGAACTCCTGCTGCTTTGATTCTTTGTGAAAATAGTATTGTAAGATGAGATTTATTTTGTGAATTACTTTACTATGTTTATTGAATTTGCATAAATTAATTAAGGGTATTGATGTTTCAAGAAGATATGTGTCAGCTGTGATTGAGGACACTCTTGTGCATGCTTTTGTTGACACCGGAGCTGACATTTCAGTTATCAGCGAGGATCCAATTGCAAAGCAGTTTCTTCCTCTCACCAGTGACGGGTGACCATCTGGACTCAGTTGGTTCAATCTTAGTAGTAGTATTAGTAGAAGTTTAGTTTCAATTTCAGCTCAGTGAAGCACTTTAAACACTTAATTTTTCTTTTTATATATAATTGTGCTTCAAATAAAGACTAAATAATACATTTCTCTACATCATATTCTTGTTTAAAAAAAATAGCACATTATATGAAAGTTATGGAGAGCAATAAAAAGGTGACCTTATGGCATTAAAGGCGACCCAATGAAAAATTTGGGTGCACCTACATTTTGTGCTGGTGCACCTAAAAAAAAAATGTAGGCGCACCAGTGCAACCAATGCAAAAAGTTAGTCTGGAGCCCTGCCCTAAGCTAACTGATGTTACACTGTCTTCTACAGTTATAGTTCCAGCCATGTCAGAGATGGTCATCACTGCTAAACTAGATGTACCACTTAAAGGATTAGTGCCTCATGACTATGCAGTTGTGTTTGAACCACAAATCATTCAACTACTGGTTTTGCATGGACTGTAGCAAAAGCTGAACAAGGTTCCATCCATGTGAAAGTAGCTAACCCCCTCCCCTCCAAATTCTGTCTGTAATATCAACATTCAGATGCCTGTAATGTCGAAGCCAACTGTACTGCCTGACATTTCAAACCCTGACCTCACAAGTGCACAAAATAAGAAACTGAAAGACACTTTAAGTTCATTCTCGGATGTTTTCAGTCAACACTCACATGACTTTGGAAGGACGCGCATGGTTACACACAACATTACAACCAGCTGTGACACTCCAATCTCACAAAGAGCCTACCGTACCTCTCCTGCCATGAAAGCAGAAATTCACCGTCAGGTGGAGGAGCTTAAATCTCAGGATCTCATTGAGGACAGTACAAGCCCCCTGGGCCAGCCCAGTGGTCATGGTGAAAAAGAAAGATGGCACATACAGATTTTGTATCGATTTCAGGAAACTGAACTCAGTTACCATCACTGATGCACATCCTCTTCCGAGAGTTGATGATAGTTTGGATGCATTATCTGGCTCTCTTTTTTCACCATGGACATGTCAAGTGGATACTGGCAAGTTGAAATGGATCCTGCAGACAGACCCAAAACCGCATTTACAACAGGCGATGTTCTCTACCAATTCAAAGTGATGCCCATGGGTCTGAAAAACTCACCACCAACTTTTCAGTGACTAATGGAACTTGTTTTGAGAGGTCTCCACTGAACAACATGTGTAATTTATCTTGATGACATAATTTGCATGGGACGAGACTTTGATGATCATATCCAAAACCTGACAGACATTCTTACACAATTCAGACAAGCAGGTTTGAAACTAAATTCAAAGAAATGTGACTTCTGCAAATCTGCAGTCAAGTATATGGGACACATTGTTTCACATGATGGACTGGCACTGGACCCAGTCAACAGTCACCGTGTACGTGATGTACGAACATTTCTGGGATTGTGCTCTTATTACAGACGTTTTGTGCACAAGTATGCATTCATCACTCACACAAAAACATGTGTCATTTGAATGGACTGAAGAGTGCTCAACTGCATTTCAGACATTAAAAGATGCACTCTTCTCCCCTCCATTAATGGCATTTCCAAACTTTCATCAGCCATTCATTCTAAGTACAGATGCGTGTAACTATGCAGTTGGTGCAGTTCTTTCTCAGGTTCAAAATGGAAAGGAACGGGTTATAGCCTATGCTAGTCATGTTCTGACCTGCACAGAGAAAAAGTGGTCCACATATGACAAAGAACTTTATGCCATTGTCTGGTCTGTCAGACACTTCAGACACTATTTGAGTTGTAATCCATTTACAATCGTTACTGATCATCGTCCACTTCTCAATCTACGGAAACTGGATGTCACACATGACCCCACAGGACGACGTGGTTGTCGGGCTCTGGAGTTGGATTTGTATAAATGGACAATAATACACAAGGAGGGAAAGAAACACACAAATGCTGAAGCTATGTCACAGATTCCCCTTCCACAAGAGGACCCTATGGTTCCAGAAGAAACAGTGTCTCCCTCACAGGACAGCAACTCCTCTCCTGTCCAACTGGATGCACTGCCTCCAGTTCCACAGTTGCACAATCTGCCAGTGCAGCCTTCTTTGGTGGCCAGCGATACAGCTCAGGTTTGCTGTTCAGAAAGAGACACTACTGTTGTTCAGACAACCAACACAGGTATGGAATTGTTGCAACACACACTTTCTAGTCAAGGAAATGACACTGTAGCTGAACAACTGACTGACCCCATTCTCTCAGAAGTGTACAGGTGGGTACAGGACAACATTCGTCCTTACCTCAGACATGTAAAAGGGAAGTTCAAAGAAAACTCAATTCCCTAAACCTGTGCTGTGTAATGACTTACTCTGTCGAAAGGCTCACACTGCACCAGGACAGCCAGTTGTGTATCAAGTACTGATTCCCACCACACTATTCACAGAGACTATGAGCATTCTTCATTGCAATCCCTGTTCTGGTCATTACAGTGCTGAGCGTGTAAATGCCCTGAAAAGGGGAGAAGTGAGTGGACAATGCATGGACACAGGCAACTCTCTTCAGGCCATGAATGTATTGACTGGAATGAACAATAAATATCAGTACAGCATCATTTACCATTCTTACATTTTACAAAACTAAAACATCAGCAGGCTGTGTAATATTTTACCACAAAACCTATATCATGACCATCATACACAACAGTCGGCACAACTAGCATCGCCCCCGGTTAGCTTATGTGGCTACTTGCTCACTCGTCGTCAGGCACTCCTCCTAACTACTTCACAATGTCGGACACACCCGTGACACAAACTCTCTCCTAAACATGTCCACACATTTAACCAACACTGGAGCAAGCAACAACTCCTATTACTTTGAGCAAATACCTGAAAAGGGGAGAAGTGAGTGGACAATGCACGGACACAGGCAACTCTCTTCAGGCCATGAATGTATTGACTGGAAGAGGAGCGTGTGACCTGCATGTAGCTCAACAACATTATGCTCCCCCTGCTGTCTCCCTCTGGTAACTACAACTACTACACACTACTAGCAGAGCCCGTCTACGGAGAGCCTGGCCACTCTCTATTAAGTCCCATTGTACCGAATTTTGGTTGCAGTTACACCAGAGTTCCACTGGGGGCGATCGCCCATGAGTGCAGAATGAATGGGAGCAGATGGAGCTAGATGGCTAAATTTGTCTCTTTCACCTGATTGTCGTTGAGAAATCTCAGATTTGATTGTAGTTCTTGCAAGTTCAACATGGGTTATAGGTTGAAAGTTGAATGAACGAGTACTAATGTCCTTTCAATTTCATACAGGTTGAGTTGTTGTTGCCCATAACAACAATTTTTTTGCCCAAGTTCTTTTTTTTTTTTAACACAGCAACTTTTTGTGTTGTTGGTACTTTTATCTGCCTATCGTTATGTCTGTGTTGTCGATGCCTCGAGAGACAAGGAAGTGCAGAGCACGGAAGCACAAAGAGACCCAAGGCTTGCCGTAAAGCAGTATCTCTGGCCGTACTATTTCAAAATTATTCAAAATAATTTTCGAATGCAACATTCAAATTACTAGACAAAAAATTATATCCTGAGAAAAGTGGATTTTGAGGGGTATAGCTCCATAGAGCTCCATTCATTCTGCACTCATCCTGTGAGCGCCCTCATATGGAACCAGAGGGGAACTGCAACAGTTCAGAACCCGGAAGTATACCGAGAGTGGAACTTCTCTCCTTATTAGACATTCTCTGCTACTAGTCCTGTTGGAGTTAGTGGCATAAGGAAAAAACACAAAATACTGTACTGAATCCATTATAACAGAAACTAAATAATTTCAACCTTAACCCATGAAATATAACGGACAGTGTTTCCGCTATGTTGATTTTGGAGCGGCGGCCCGCTGCTGTTAAATTTCTGCCGCCACGGTATCAGAAATGGGGCAGATGCACAATATAGTCCCAGTTGCCTTTTAAATGATCCTGCTGACATAATGCACCCCCGTTAGTTGCCGCTCCCATTGCAATTTAACAACAAGTAGAACTATTCAGAGGTTATTGGGGCTGTCCAGTTTAACTCCACATACTGTTGTGTTGATGTAGCTTATTGTCAAAACATTCGCTTTCTTCCAAGTCGACTATTAAACAGCTCCACCAAAAACGTCACTGCGGTGGGTCAGTTTTAATTGGACAACGTTCAACTTGTCAGTTCTCAGCTCAACGTCCTGATATGAAACATCTGGAAACATTAAAACGGTAAATATATTTGTTTATGTCGCAGCGAATTGTCACTTCTGTTTCATACGTAAAACGTTTACCGGCGTGACCGGGGGGGGTGTTCGGACGGGCCTGCCACCACTGCTAAAAAAAAATCCTAGAGGAAACACTGACGGAGATGGTTATTCTGTTTCACAACATGAAGACACTCCACATGAGGTTATTATTCAAACCGTCACAAGCGCACATTCAAGAAAGCCCTGTCTATGTGCTATTGGCCGAACATGAGAACTGATATTGATAACTTTTGTACTATGTGTCATACATGTGAAGCTTACAGAAAACCTGTTAAGCAACACAGAGCTCCTCTGCAATCTATAGAAGCAGAGAGACCATTCCAGTTTGTATGTACAGATATTACTGAGCTCCCACTCATCTCAAGTGGACATAGATATGTGCTTGTAGTACAAGATCATTTTACAAAGTATGTTAATGCTTTTCCTATGTTGGATCAGAAAGCAGCTACAGTAGCGCAACTACTTTGTGAAAGATATATTCCTGAACACGGTGTTCCAGAAGAACTGTTTTCAGATCAGGGACGACAATATGAATCAGAAATCGTTCACACAATATGTCAGAGACTGAACATCAAAAGAAAAGGACCTCACCTTAGGGATGGTGGAGAGATGGTTGAGAGATTTAACAGGACTCTAAAAGAGCAATTGGCTAAGCTCATTCATCATCATGGTGGTGAATGGGACCACTATTTGCCAGCTGTGGTTTTCTCCTTTAACTCTACTCCACATTCTAGCATGAGATACTCACCTTATTTTCTTGCCCATGGTAGAGAGCCTCGTGTTCCAGCTACTGTAAATGTCTCTATCACAGACTCCAGAGAACTATAGTTCAGAACTGGTGAAATGGCTTGACACTGTTTTTCAGACTGTTCGCTCTCATCGGGAGGAGCAGAGACTCAAGCGTGAGTACTACTTCAACAAACATGTGAAGTTTAAACCTTATCAGTGTGGGGATGTAGTATGGATGGATGATCCCACTACACAGAGAAAGAAACTGGACCCTAACTGGACTGGACCATACAAAGTGGCTTCAGCAGATAACAGAGGACTCATTTACAAACTCTTGGATTTGAGACGCCCTCAGGCTGGATCAAAAGTCATTCACTATGATCGACTGAAACCTTACCGGTCAACTTGGGATACATCTTCATCACCAGTGAACCAACGTGTACCTCACCATCCTATGGACGCTGTCCCCAGGTATACGTCATTGTCTGGTTCTCTCCCCTTGTGCCCTGGACCACCTGACACTGGACAGGTTTCTGCCCCTGCCTGCCCCTGCCTTGATTAATTTGCTGATTAGGTTTGATGCTTAATGTTTGCAGATGTTTAGAAGAAGAAGGAAAAAATACCCTATATGTTGGATGTTAGTATGTTACCTATGCTTTAAACTGTAGTTTCATTATTCTGGTATTTCACAGGTTTGAAGTTGTGTTTTACTGAATGTGTAAGAAATGTGAACTGTGCAAACACATAGTAGTTTTTTTTATAGCTGATATTATTTGAATGGTTTTGTCTATTCTTGTGACTATTACGGTGTTTTACTATTTCTTCATTTACCCACAGGTTGGAATACTCTGTAGTAGTACTTAAGTGTTTATTTACTGTTCTGGTTGTGAGATGACATTTATTTTTCATAACTTTTGAAATAAGGACTTTTCATCTGAAGAGAGGGTAGAATTTATTTTGTGAATTACTTTACTATGTTTATTGAATTTGCATAAATTAATTAAGGGTAATTACATATATAAGCATATTTGTATTCTGTTCTGCAATGTAGATGAGGAACTACATAAGGTGCATGTTACCTGGAATGTTACCAATGGTTAAGATTGGTGGAGTGATATGATGTAAACAGTGTTCAGTTGTCCTACTGTTGAAATGGACATTAAAGTGGATCGAGTAACCGAGATGAAGTTGTCCCCGTGCTCTTGCTTCACCCATGACCCAAAGGTAGTTAATATAGTAACTATCAAGTTATAGTTAACGCTAAGAGTAACCAGCGTTACAGTATCATATATAATTTAAACCAAAAATTGTTTCATTGAAATCTTAAGACAGATAATATCAAAAGAGGAAAGGACTAAGAGGGAAGGATTGTCAACTTAAAAATAGCTATTGCGTTAAAATGGTATTTATCTTTATCTGTGTACGCCCCTCCTCTCAAATATATCAATAGTGTATATATCTTTATCAGACCACCATGCACATTTCTGTACTCTAATGCTTAACACAATTCCTCACCATTAAACTGGAATTTTAACGTTTTAATCAGGATGTTGTAGATGCTTGTATTTTGTGGGATGTCATTAAGGGATTTATAAGAAATAACTCAATAACATTTGCATCTGGACAGAGTAAAGCACAATTAAAGAAAGGTTCTTACATCACTAATCAACAACGTGAATATTTCTCAGCTGAACAGAAGAAAGAAATATCCATAAAATAAAATTATTTAATAAAGTATCCTTGGAAAAGATCAGAGTTTAATGCACAGGGTGAGGCAATCTTATTTCCTTGATGGGAGTAAAGCCAGCTTTCTATTGGCTAGTAAACTGCATAATAATGACCACCTGGCAGATGTACCTTCAGTTCAGGCAGAAGATAGTTCCCTCCTGCATGACCCCTTATGAATTAATCAACAGCTTGAAAGATTTGAGCAAACATTATATCAGTGTACTTTCTTTATATTATTAGTATTAGCTCTGCCAGTCTTTGAGTGAGATATCATCCAGCACCTGGCTGGAGCAATGGAGGATAAACTAATTTCTACCCTGATATGATTTTGTTGCTACTGTTTTACAAACTACAAGTTCAACACATGAACTCTTACAAACAAAATTATTTGTTAATTAACACTTATTTATCTAAGAAAGAACAACTTGTAACTTCTTCTCTTCACTGGTCTTCACACAGCAGTGATGACCAGATGTCTGGAATCACGTAAAAAAACAAAACATATTCAGTGTACCAAATGCATCAGCCTGTGAAACTGATTTGATTAGAGATAAGATTGATAAGATTCTACTTATTGTACATTCAGATGGAAGATCTATTAATGGTTGTCGTCGTTTACCTTGGTTTTCCAGCTGGTTCTAGGCATAATCTCCTGACTGGACCTGCTTGCTGCTGCCCAGATTGGAGAAGTTGTTTATGGTCTTCTGTCTTGTGTTACTAAAGTGAGATGATAACTGTGTTAATTAAATGTTGGTTAAAGTTTATTACTGTTATTTTTGTATTTAATTTAACACATTAAACATAAAAACTTTAGCAAATGAAGTGTATATTACTGCCAACATTAAAAGAAAAATAAACTAATAATGAGCAAAATAGTTTAACTCTTTCAAATCTGTTCTGGGTGTTAGTTTGGTTATTTCCTGTTTTACGTTGAAAGACAATTTATTTGTTGCCTTTGTCATTTTCCCGCCTGTTTTTCTGTGTCACCTGTGTCTCATTATCGTTCTGTCACTTGTGCATTTAGTCTGTGACTCCGGTCAAAATGTCAAAATTAGCATCATAAACTGAATGTAAAATCAACCTGAAGTATCAAAACTAACTAAATTACTTTTCCAAGATTGTTTGTGCTCAGTGGACTTCTCTAAAGGGGACATATTATGCAAAACCAACTTTTTAATCATTTGATTATGTACATTTGGGACTCTGGAGGGCCTATCAGCAGGCAAAGTGTGAAAAAAATGACTCAGTCATGTTTTTGTGGGCTGCCTCAGTCAGAATATAGGAGAGAAATCATGAAGCTTCAGAAGTGGGTAGTTTGTGACGTCTCCCTGTTGCCACCCACCTCTCTTTACTTCCTGTTGACTATCGGAGCGCCGCCATTGCAGTATAAAAGGCAAGCTAGCGGAGAACAAGCAAGTCGGGAGCTGCGCAGTGAGACTGTGAGAGACGCTGAGAGAAGCGGAGTTGGCACACGTGCTAGTGTTCTCGCCTGCTGCCGCATAACAAACTCGAGACACTTTTTCTTCTACTTTTTCTTTTATTAATAGTAGGGCTAGTATTATTAGAATTAGATTAGGGTTGGGAAGGAGGGATTTAAGAGGCTCATGGCTTCAGGGAAGGAGGATGAGGGTGGTGGGTGGCAGAAGGTGGTGAAGGAAAAGGGGGGCTCTAAGAGGGGGAATCGAGTGAAAGACCTGAAATGTCAGGAGATGAAGGAAATAAGGTTAGGAAAACTGGAAATACTGAAGAGTTTGTTGTGCTGTTTAAAGTTAGGAGATGCAGGATTTAGAGCAGTGAATCCATTAAAAGTTACCAGTGCTTTGGAGAGTCAGATAGGCAAAGAATTTCAGGCCAAGATATTGTTTAATGGAATGTTAAGAGTTTGTTGTAAAAACAGGAAACAGTATAATGATGCTAGAGGTGCGTTTAAAGATAGTGTACTGCCACAGAGAGTGTTTCTTGGGAGTATGGCGTATTATGTGAGAGAGTACATTAAACCACCGTTGCGCTGCTATAACTGTCAGAGGTTTGGACATGTTGCTGAGGGGTTGTCGGGGTAAAAGAAGGTGTGCAAAGTGCGGTGGAGATCATATAATACAAAGTTGCAAGGCAGAGGCTCCTAAGTGCCCTAACTGTGAGGGGGATCATGGGGCAGGGTTTCACGGGTGTGAGCGATTTGTTCAGGCTAAGCGGGTGCAGGATGTGAGGGGAGCTGAACAAGGTGTCGTATGCAGAGGCAGTTCAAAGAGTGGATAGAGAATGTGGAAAAAGGATATCTGGTACTAGGGCAGTGTCAGGAAGCCAGTTCAATGCTCCAAACTTGCAGTCGGACCTACATTCTGATATGTTGAATCTTACAAAAGAGTCATTTCTGTCTTTTGTGTCTGATGTGTTGGTAGGAGCTAAGAAAGCAGCAAACTGGTCAGATATTATTAGGTTAGTGGTGGGGGCAGCTGAAAGGTTCCTCGGTATAACGCAGTTGCCAGAAGAGCTACATCAATACATGAAGGAGAGTCAACCTATGGAGAGGTCACAGTTGGTGAGGGTTAGCAGTATGGAGGATGTCTATTACTATTCTATTACTGTGATAAATTATTATAACCCTTGTCAACCTTTGGTATTGTCAGATTTTGATGAGATTATGGAGAAGGTAAGGTGTCCTGTTATATGGATTGGAGATTTTAATGCACATAATCCTTTATGGGGTAGTGATCATAGGGATAAAAATTGTGTTATTGTAGAAGAATTTATAGATAAATATGAGTTAGTAGTGTTAAATGATGGAAGGCCAACTAGATATCATATTGTCATAAATACCTGCAGTCATATAGATTTGTCAATCGCTTCGTCAAACTTAGCTAGAGTTGGTGAATGGGATGTTATAGACTCGTATACATTGGGTAGTGATCATTATCCAATTTTATGCAGATTTGGTAGGGAATTGAGGAGAGAAGTGGAAAAGAAAGCCCCTAGATATAACTTTTCTCAGGCTAAATGGGATAAATTTCAGGAGAGGGTTCAGAGCTTAGTAGGAGAGATTGATAGTGAGGGTACTGTAGATAATTGGAATACATCCATTAGTCTTATGATACATGAGGCCGCTTGCAGTATTATTCCTCTGAAACAGGAACCTAGGACTCGTATGCTGGTTCCTTGGTGGAACAAGGAGTGTGATCAAGCTGTAAGGAGTAGGAATAGAGCATATAGAAGACTAAGAAAGTTTGTTAAGAATGTTGGTTAATGTAATGGAGTACAAGCGGCTAAGGGCAGTAGCAAGAAGAGTTATAAAGGATGCAAAGAGGAATAGTTGGAGGAAGTTTTGTGGTACGCTAGGCCCTGAGACTCCTGTAAGGCATTTGAATGAAAATATTAGCTTTGTTTAATACGGTGTGGGCAGAGGGTTATTTGCCCAAGGAATGGAAACATGCAGTTGTGGTCCCTATTTTAAAGCCAGGCAAAAGTCCATTTGACCCTAGTTCATATCGCCCTATAGCACTCACAGCAGTGCTTTGTAAAGTAATGGAGAAGATGGTAACCAACAGACTAGTGTGCTTCATAGAAACTAGAGGACTCTTTGTTGATGTCCAGAATGGCTTTAGGAAGGGAAGGTCGACAATGGAATCAGTGTTAGTTTTGGATCAGGATATCAAAAGGGCATTTAGCAATAAGGAAATAGTAGTGAGTGTATTTCTGGATATTGAGAAGGCATATGATTCTTGTGGAAGGAGGGATTAATGATTAAAATCTTTGACTTGGGAGTAAGGGGGCGAATGTTTAATTTTATTAAGGAGTTTTTAATGAAAAGAACAATACAAGTAATGGTTGGTAGTGTCTTTTCAAATACTGTAGAAATAGAGAACGGAACCCCGCAAGGAAGTGTTATCAGTCCACTTTTATTTAATATAATGATTAATGATATCTTAGGCAAAATAGAGAGAGGATTTGGGTTATCTCTATTTGCAGATGATGGGGCCATCTGGAAAAAGAGGGCGTAATGTAAAGAGTTTGTTTTAAAACAGATTCAAAGAGTATTATTGTCTATAGAGGAATGGGGGAACACATGGGGCTTCAAATTTTCTGCATCTAAGACTAAATATGTTGTATTTGGTTTTAAAAGAAAGTTACCTAATATAGAGCTGTATATGTATGGGTCTTTATTGGAGAAGGTAAAGGTTTCTTAATTTTTGGGTGTATGGTTTGAAGAGCGTATGACTTTGGCTGTGCATGTAGATAAAATTGTGCTGAAATGTGGAAAAGTTCTAAATAGTTCTAATCTGATCTGTTTATTTAGCGTTACTGAAGTACTGCTATTACTGACGATATAAGTGTAGGTCCAGTGTAACATCCTATACTCATATAATCTCCTATAGTATTATAAACACTGAGGCTCACTGCTAAATGTCTGTTATTGCACCGGGAACTTGTTCTAACATCAGTTACAGTCAGTAAATGTCCTGTGTGTGTATCTGCTGCCATTAGATAGACATTGTGTTGGTAACCTCAGACTGTTTCAACAACACATCACTACAGTTAGCTGCAACAAGGAACCCACCTGAGACACTGCTTTATTATTTTAGTTTATAACTTAGGACTACTGTGAGCCACAATGAGCTGTTGTACTTGTATTATATCATACTGTATTATATTACACTGTATATTATATTATACTGTATATTATATGCTGCCTTACAAGTAACACTGAATCTTCGATGTCTTACAGGTGACCTGATGAAGCTCAGGTGTTCCTGGACCCATCAGAGGACAGAGACAGCTGCAGCATCAGGACAGTCTGGGTATCCAAAGGAAGACTGATGAAGATGAACACTGACTGCAGAGCTCCATTACCAGCTCATACTTCAATATACTAGAAACCATAAACCTTGATGTAGGACATGATCTGCACAGTTTACATAAAAGTTGTAGCTTTGTTACTTACAACATGTTTAACTGGAATATAAATGAAACATAAATAAAGTGTTTTACTTTTAAGAAGAGTTTTGGTCATTTTTAAATTCAGTGTGGTATTATATAAATAACATGTTATTTCACAGAGGTTTTATGAAGATTTCCTGCAAGTACAAGAGTTGAAAACCTGGTTCGTGTAACATCTATCAATATGAAAATGTGGAACTTAAACCTGTATTAATGACTGTAAGCAACACAATACATTACTGTCTCACATTCAAACTTTATTATGTTGGAAGATAAATGACATCATAATACAGTATATAATATAAATGATAGAATATTCAGTATACAGTATTTTTAATTGGGTTCAAACATAATTGCAGCTTTTACAAATATCTGAAGGTTAACTTTGGTAATAATACTTTTAAGTTAAAATATCAGACTATGAAATATGGATACAGTACAGTTAACAGTTGGTTACTTGGCAGTTTTTTAAACCACATGAACAAGTTACCTTATTAGATGAGTGATTCCTTCAGTTATGTTGACATGTTGTACAGGATAAAGTATTCCAGGTTTCTGTTTCCATGGTCTCAGTAAACTAATGTGTATAAGGGAATATAACAGATGGGAGGTAACAGTAATCATTATACTATTACTCTGATTACTTTGGTACATTTACTGGCTGTTTCTTCACTAGAAACAACTGCTTGACTAATGTTGTTAATATTATGTAATATATAATATGTTTAACTTCAGTGGGCTGTGTAGACTGTAGGTCACTGCTCACTGCTGTACCTGTAAAGACAAGCATAAAACAGTGTTGGTTCTCATAGTTAAGGCATAAACACTAACATTATGTGATAGATAGAGGTTAATATATATATATATATATATATGTTTATGTAGTTAATATAGCAGTATTTACCTGAGGAAAACATCACAGAAAGCTGTAATCCTGATTGTTGATGTTGTTCATTTCTCCGTGATTTCCGGTCAGACTCTCGCTCTAACATGTCCGCTGGTGAACTTTTTGCTTTAGAAGCAGTTATTGAATTAATATTGACGGTAGAAATGAAGCTAAACTCAGTAGCAGTGAGGAGCTACCTGCCGGCAACGAAGGGGAGGAGCCGGAGCGTCATCCGCGTGAGCCGCGTCATAATGCCGACCAATCAGAGCAGACTGGGCTTTTCGGGAGGGGGGTCTTAAAGAGACAGGAGCTAAAACCGAGCAATTCAGACAGAGGCTGAAAAGAGGAGCTCAGCTGTAGGCAGTATGAGAAAAAGAATGTGTTTTTGAACATTAAAACATCTAAACCTATTGTAGGAGAGCCACAAAATACAATTATGAACCTGAAAAGGGGGCATAATATGACTCCTTTAATGCACAAGAATGAACACACTGATAAATGAAGATATCTATGTCAAGAGAATCTTTGTCCCATTTTAAACTTCCTATAGAATGTAAAAATCCTGATATTGGCATATCAAAGTATTTCATCATTTACCTGTTGTTGGCTTCAGGAAGCTCTGGGATGCTGAGGATGAGGAGGCAGAAAGAGCAGCGAGCACTCAGTGTTCAGAGTTTTTATACTCCATCAGCAGAAGGGACGGACGCTTTGTGTTCACATGACAGAAATCTCTCCTCCCACCAACCAGAATATCATACTTTCTCTTTTCCTTTTGTACTTTACTTGAAATACATAACAGACAAATTGCATTTTGCAGGTGAAGGCACAAACAAAATTTACAAAACAAAAGAGTTGAAATTGTTCACAACTCAGCAGATTTGTTACAACTAATATGGATGACATTGCAAACATATTACAATAGGTAACAGCTCAATCATTTTGTCATCTTGTTCATCAAAGCCATGTTTTAATTACAGAGCTAAGAGATTTAACCAAGTTTACAAACTAGCCAACCACTGATCACTCAAGTTGTTAAGACTCTTAATATCAGAGTCTCTGATGTTCCCAAGAACAAGAAGAGCAACACCTTATCAGGAAACACATTTCATTTATTTCGGGTATCGGTGTTCTGCCTTCATAACAGACAGTGGTTTGCTGATAAGAATGTAATCAGAAAGAAATCATGTTCATGTGCTTTCCTGTGTTTTATCTGATCATTAGCTCTCTGTTCAGCAGGTCATTTCACATTTTTCACATGCTCACCATGAACTTTTGTTTTGAGAGGTTACTGACATTTCACAGAGTTCATTCTAAATTCATCATTCATCATATCAAGCTGTACAGGACTATCCATCCATACATTATATGTAACTGCCTATCCTTTGCCCACTTCTTGCCAAAGGAGTGAAGTTATAAATATCAGAAGTTGTCCTTGTTATGAAGACTTTGCTCTTTTAGTCACAAAGGACAAATTTTGTTCCTCTTTGTAAAGTTTTGAGATTCTATAATGGCTCTTGATGTCTTTAAGTCAATTAGTGAAAAATTAAGAAGTCTTTTAGTGAAAGTGCATAATGTCAGGTTGTGTATTAGGAGATGGTATGAAACTCGGTCCGTGTAGTTTTGGTCATTGGATTTTCCTTTCAGAAATGGGTATTAAAAAACTGAAAACGAGTGGTTATTTGATTTTCGTTTTAAAATACAAAAATTCAAATTGAAATACAAGGCGTTATTCTTTTTCATGGTCAGAAAGGGATGAAAAAATATTCGATTTTCATTTTCTATTTCATATAACAAAAAATAAAATCACTAGAAAACAGAAACGGAAAAAAGGCCTGTTTTATATATTCTGAAACCGGATGTTGTCATTTACAGGACCGTGCTGTGTAGAAGAAACAGTAGGCTAGTAGCCTGCAGTCAATCCAGCCGTGACTCTGATCTCCGTGGTAAAATCAGCCGCACTTAAATTTAGTGTACAAGTATTCTCAGCATTATGGTAAATGCTGAGAAACAGCGTATTTACTTCCGGTTTTCAAAATAAAGGTATTTAGAACAGTAAGCTATAATTCGAACCTACATTTAAAATAAAATATGTTACATTAAAGTGTTTCATGCGCCCCTGGTGAATAAAAAACACTTCATATCAAGTATCTTTACTGCACCAGTGTGGAGAAATGCCAAAATAAAAGCCTCATATTTATGCCTCCAGAGATTGCATATTTGACCATATTTGAGGTACTGTAAAAACATATTGCTCAGTGTTTCCTGGCTACTGACTTTTACACATATGAGACTACAAGCATACTTAATATCAAGCATTTTTACTGTACCAATTTGGAGAAATTCAACAATAAAAGTCCATATTTGTAGCTCAAGTGGTATTTTCATATATTTGAGCTACTGTAAAAACACTTTGCTCAATAATTCCTGGATATGGATGGTATATCTTACTTCTACACATCTAAGACTACAAGTATACTTAATATCAAGCATTTCTACTGCACCAGTGTGGAGAAATGCCAAAATAAAAGCCTCATATTTATGCCTCCAGAGATTGCATATTTGACCATATTTGAGGTACTGTAAAAACATATTGCTCAGTGTTTCCTGGCTACTGACTTTTACACATATGAGACTACAAGCATACTTAATATCAAGTATTTTTACTGTACCAATTTGGAGAAATTCAACAATAAAAGTCCATATTTGTAGCTCAAGTGGTATTTTCATATATTTGAGCTACTGTAAAAACACTTTGCTCAATAATTCCTGGCTATGGATGGTATATCTTACTTCTACACATCTAAGACTACAAGTATACTTAATATCAAGCATTTCTACTGCACCAATGTGGAGAAATTTAAGAATAAAGGTGGTTCCACTGTATGTGGAACCAACTGCAACAGCTGTCACGCTGAATCTGTAAAAGGGAAAAATAATATATGAGGAAGAGACAGTAGGTACAATGGTGTTTTGAAGTTAAAACTAATTATTTTTCCCTTTTACAGATTCAGTGTGACAGCTTTTGCAGGTGGTTCCACACACAGTGCCTACAAATGGACACAGCAGAGCTGCAAAATAAGAAGAATGTGGACTGGAATTGCATTTTGTGTGAAAAGTAAACAAGTTAGAATTGTGTAGGATTTTGTGTTTAGTGTTTAGTCTTTATATTATAATTTTTTATAAAATGTTATTAAACATTTGTGTGAAATTTTGTCATGATTACTGTATCATTATTGAAGTATAATGAAAATGCTTCACCCATAGCCTGGTATTATTGAGCAAAGTGTTTTTACAGTAGCTCAAATATATGAAAATACCACTTGGAGGTACAAATATGGACTTTTTTGTTGAATTTTGTTGAAAATTGGTGTAGTAAAAATGCTTGATATTAAGTATGCTTGTAGTCTCATATGTGTAAAAGTCAAATATACCGTCAGGAGCCAGAAAACACTGAACAATATGTTTTTACAGTAGCTCAAATATGGTCAAATATGCAATCTCTGGAGGCATAAATATGAGGCTTTTATTTTGGCATTTCTCCACACTGGTGCAGTAAAGATACTTGATATAAAGTGTTTTTTATTCATTATGGGCGCATGAAACACTTTAATGTAACATATTTTATTTTAAATGTAGGTTCGAATTATAGCTTACTGTTCTAAATACCTTTATTTTGAAAACCGGAAGTACATACACTGTTGCTGCATTTACCATAATGCTGAGAATACTTGTACACTAAATTTAAGTGCGGCTGATTTGACCACGGAGATCAAACTCACGGCTGGATTGACCGCAGTCTACTAGCCTACTGTTTCTTCTACACAGCACGGTCCTGTAAATGACAACATCCGGTCTCAGAATATGAAAGAACAGGCCTTTATTACGTTTCTGTTTTCTAGTGATTTTATTTTTTGTTATATGAAATAGAAAATGAAAATCGAATCATTTTTTAAATTTCGCTCATCCCTTTCTGACCATGAAAAAAGAAAAACGCCTTGTATTTTAATTTTAATTTTTGTATTTTAAAACGAAAATCAAATAACCACTCGTTTTCAGTTTTTTAATACCCGTTTCTGAAAGGAAAATCCAATGACCAAAAGATACACGGAAACAAACTCCCACACAGTTTCAGTTTTACCGGTTGGTGCAGTTTGGAGGGCTGATACAGGAAACATTGTTATGGGTCCGTGTATGTTTTGGTCATTGGATTTTCCTTTCAGAAACGGGTATTAAAAAACAGGAAACGAGATTTGATTTTCGTTTTAAAATACAAAAATTAAATTGAAATACAAGGCGTTTTTCTTTTTCATGGTCAAAAAGGGATGAGCGAAATTAAAAAAATGATTCGATTTTCATTTTCTATTTCATATAACAAAAAATAAAATCACTAGAAAACAGAAACGGAAAAATACCTGTTTTTTCATATTCTGAGACCGGATGTTGTCATTTACAGGACGGTGCTGTGTAGAAGAAACAGTAGGCTAGTAGACTGCGGTCAATCCAGCCGTGAGTCCGATCTCCGTGGTCAAATCAGCCGCACTTAAATTTAGAGTGTACAAGTATTCTCAGCATTATGGTAAATGCGGAGAAACAGCGTATTTACTTCCGGTTTTCAAAATAAAGGTATTTAGAGCCGTAAGCTATAATTAAAATATGTTACATTAAAGTGTTGTGCCCCTGATGAATAAAAAAAAACTTTATATCAAGTATCTTTACTGCACCAGTGTGGAGAAATGCCAAAATAAAAGTCTCATATTTATGCCTCCAGAGATTGCATATTTGACCATATTTGAGGTACTGTAAAAACATATTGCTCAGTGTTTCCTGGCTACTGATGGTTTATTTGACTTTTACACATATGAGACTACAAGCATACTTAATATCAAGCATTTTTATTGTACCAATTTGGAGAAATTCAACAATAAAAGTCCCATATTTGTACCTCCATGTGGCATATTTTCATATATTTGAGCTACTGTAAAAACACTTTGCTCAATAATTCCTGGCTATGGATGGTATATTTGACTTCTACACATCTAAGACTACAAGTATACTTAATATCAAGCATTTTTACTGTACCAATTTGGAGAAATTGAAGAATAAAAGCCCCATATTTATACTGCCAGATTCCATATTTTCTTATATTTTTGAGCTACTGTAAAAACATATTGCTCAATATTTCCAGGCTATGGGTGAAGCATTTTCATTTTACTTCAATAATGCTGCAGTAATCATGACAAAATTTCACACAAATGTTTGATAACATCTTGATAATATAAACACTAAACACAAAATCCTACACAATTCTAATTTGTTTACTTTTCACACAAAATGCAATGCCAGTCCACATTCTTCTTATTTTGCTGCTCTGCTGTGTCCATTTGTAGGTAAAAGGGAAAAATAATTAGTTTTAACTTCAAAACACCATTGTACCTACTGTCTCTTCCTCACATATTATTTTTTATATCATTCAGTGTGACAGCTGTTGCAGGTGGTTCCACATACAGTTTACATTTTTACAGTAGCTCAAATATAAGAAAATATGGAATCCGGAAGTATAAATATGGGACTTTTATTCTTAAATTTCTCCACATTGGTACAGTAAAAATGCTTGATATTAAGTATGTTTGTAGTCTCATATGTGTAAAAGTCAAATATACCATCAGTAGCCAGGAAACACTGAGCAATATGTTTTTACAGTACCTCAAATATGGTCAAATATGCAATCTCTGGAAGCATAAATATGAGGCTTTTATTTTGGCATTTCTCCACACTGGTGCAGTAAAGATACTTGATATAAAGTTTTTTTTTATTCATCAGGGCCGCATGAAACACTTTAATGTAACATATTTTAATTATAGCTTACGGCTCTAAATACCTTTATTTTGAATACCGGAAGTAAATACACCGTTTCTCCGCATTTACCATAATGCTGAGAATACTTGTACACTCTAAATTTAAGTGCGGCTGATTTGACCACGGAGATCGGACTCACGGCTGGATTGACCGCAGTCTACTAGCCTACTGTTTCTTCTACACAGCACCGTCCTGTAAATGACAACATCCGGTCTCAGAATATGAAAAAACAGGCCTTTTTTCTGTTTCTGTTTTCTAGTGATTTTATTTTTTGTTATATGAAATAGAAAATGAAAATCGAATAATTTTTTAAATTTCGCTCATCCCTTTTGACCATGAAAAGAAAACGCCTTGTATTTCAATTTTAATTTTTGTATTTTAAAACGAAAATCAAATAACCACTCGTTTTCTATTTTTTAATACCTGTTTCTGAAAGGAAAATCCAATGACCAAAACATACACGGACCGTTATGGTCCAGAGAACTGAAGCTTTGTCTCAGATCTCTTCTCTGGTTCACTGACATCCATCATTACTGAATCTGTCTGTGAATGCTGCAAAGGGTTAAAGCAGACAGATAAGCAACTAGAGAATATATTTAGACATTTAAGTATAAATGAAGCAATTTAAGATTTAGGAAACAGTGAGGATTCATTGTAATCAGATATTTGTTAGTACCACTCTCTGGTTGTAGTCCTAACATCAGGAAGTACATGTGAACAAGCAGGTGATAGACACATTTAAAAGTATATTTATTCATAAAAGCAGTGCAGACAAAGATCAGATTCCATCAGACTAGGAGTCAGAATGCAAGAGTTATTTCCCAAGTGTTTGATGTAACATTGAGAGATT